CATTGATGTACTATCAATGTGGCTTAACAGTGGCCTCTAGCCAAATGTTGTAACACCCTGGCCACTCAATACACTGGCGGTACTATCCAGTTATTTCCTTCAGTCCAGCTCATAGTAAATGCATCGACTCCTCGCGAACCCGGATTCCAAAACCTTGAATAAAACCTGGCGACTTTGTTGTTATAATATGAAGCAAACAGGTCTGCATCATATGGGCCCCACATGGAACTAAGGTGTTGAAAAACATAGTCAGCTATACCCCAATCGTCTGTGTCTACAGTCCCGTTAACCGACAACAATCATTCAACACGCTGCATAAGTTTGTCCACTTTCCTCTGTGGTATAGACAAAGCCATTGAACTTGTATCAATGATAAGCCCCAACCATTCTAAACATTGGCACGGCTCCCACAGTGATTGTTCTACCTTAGGCACGAAGCCTAAGAAATGATATCCTGCTTTACAATGTTCCGGTTTAGGTACGCTTTATGCAATGGCTCAAAATTACACTGAGTTTATCGATGACTGCTTTGAACTTCTGGGACTAGAAAAGTAGACTGAGCAGTATATAACTAGGCTTATTTGTGGAACTAAACATACATTACGCCGAAATCTGTAGACGTACCCACAGGAAGACCCAATACTGTCATAACTGCATACAGGCTTCAGTGGTCCCTTTAACCTGCTCACATTACCGTTGTCCCTGGGTGGTAGGGACAACTCCTCGCGAAATTACTGGATAGTACCGCCAGTGTATTGAGTGGCCAGGGTGTTACAACATTTGGCTAGAGGCCACTGTTAAGCCCGGACTCGACACTCGCCTCGTCTGGGAGTGAGGGGTCGGACGACCGTGACTCCTGTCAACATCCCATCCATGCGTATGTGCAGATCCATACAAAGATTAACTCAACACCAGATTCTATACTAACATAAGTTCACTTAGCCTACTACAACTTCAGCACAAGACATGCCTCTTCTCGTGAGGAGGATTTGGAGATTTTACGTGCGCTTTCCGACATGAGTATTTTTTGCACACGCTACGCTCTACTGTGGGAAAGGTACCTTTTTAAATGGTTGGGGTCTGACCTGAATTTGATCCAATAAATCGTAACATACCGGACATTACTGATGTGGTCAACCCTTCACTACTCCCCTTGGTTAGATTAATCTGTCTCTCATGACACTGTTTGGCTTTTACTATGTAATCATGTGTTGTCGCCGCCATAACACTGGGCACCCAGATCTCGTCACCAACATACCACAGGGCACTCGGATCTCGTCACCAACATACCACAGGGCACTCGGATCTCGTCATCAACGTACCACAGGGCACTCGGATCTCGCCACCAACATACCACAGGGCACTCGGATCTCGTCACCAACGTACCACAGGGCACTCGGATCTCGTCACCAACGTACCACAGGGCACTCGGATCTCGTCACCAACGTACCACAGGGCACTCGGATCTCGTCACCAACGTACCACAGGGCACTCGGATCTCGTCACCAACTTACCACAGGGCACTCAGATCTCGCCACCAACATACCACAGGGCAATCTGATCTCGTCACCAACACACCACAGGGCACTGCAGCTAGTAGGGTTTACCATGGTAACAGGTGTAGCTAGCAGGGTTGACCATGGTAACAGGTGTTGCTAGCAGGGTTTACTATGAGCAAATGGTGCAGCTAGCAGGGTTAACCATGGTAACAGGTGCAGCTAGCAGGGTTTACCATGGTAACAGGTGTAGTTAGCAGGGTTTACCATGGTAACAGGTGTAGCTAGCAGGGTTGACCATGGTAACAGGTGTAGCTAGCAGGGTTTACTATGGTAACAGGTGTAGCTAGCAGGGTTTACTATGAGCAACAGGTGCAGCTAGCAGGGTTTACCATGGTAACAGGTGTAGCTAGCAGGGTTTACTATGAGCAAATGGTGCAGCTAGCAGGGTTTACCATGGTAACAGGTGTTGCTAGCAGGGTTTACTATGAGCAAATGGTGCAGCTAGCAGGGTTAACCATGGTAACAGGTGCAGCTAGCAGGGTTTACCATGGTAACAGGTGTAGTTAGCAGGGTTTACCATGGTAACAGGTGTAGCTAGCAGGGTTGACCATGGTAACAGGTGTAGCTATCAAGGTTTACCATGGTAACAGGTGTAGCTAGCAGGGTTTACTATGAGCAACTGGTGCAGCTAGCAGGGTTTACCATGGTAACAGGTGTAGCTAGCAGGGTTTACCATGGTAACAGGTGTAGCTAGCAGGGTTTACTATGGTAACAGGTGTAGCTATCAGGGTTTACCATGGTAACAGGTGTAGCTAGCAGGGTTTACTATGAGCAACTGGTGCAGCTAGCAGGGTTTACCATGGTAACAGGTGCAGCTAGCAGGGTTTACCATGGTAACAGGTGTAGCTAGCAGGGTTTACTATGGTAACAGGTGTAGCTAGTAGGGTTTACCATGGTAACAGGTGTAGCTAGCAGGGTTTACCGTGGTAACAGGTGTAGCTAGCAGGGTTTACTATGAGCAACTGGTGCAGCTAGCAGGGTTTACCATGGTAACAGGTGTAGCTAGCAGGGTTTACCATGGTAACAGGTGTAGCTAGCAGGGTTTACTATGAGCAACTGGTGCAGCTAGCAGGGTTTACCATGGTAACAGGTGTAGCTAGCAGGGTTTACCATGGTAACAGGTGTAGCTAGCAGGGTTTACCATGGTAACAGGTGTAGCTAGCAGGGTTTACTATGAGCAAATGGTGCAGCTAGCAGGGTTTACCATGGTAACAGGTGTAGCTAGCAGGGTTTACCATGGTAACAGGTGTAGCTAGCAGGGTTTACCATGGTAACAGGTGTAGCTAGCAGGGTTTACTATGAGCAACTGGTGCAGCTAGCAGGGTTTACCATGGTAACAGGTATAGCTAGCAGGGGTGCAGCTAGCAGGGTTTACTATGAGCAACTGGTGCAGCTAGTAGGGTTTACCATGGTAACAGGTGTAGCTAGCAGGGTTTACCATGGTAACAGGTGTAGCTAGCAGGGTTTACCAAGGTATCAGGTGGCACTAGCTCGTTACTAGGAGCAACACTGTCAATATAGCAGGATTAACAATGCGATGCCATCCTTAGCAGGGTCTACCATGACTAACAGGTGGCAGCACCAGGGTTAATAATGAGAAACAGGTGACAGTACCGGGGTTAATAATGAGATACAGGTGACAGTACCGGGGTTTACAATGGGAAACAGGTGGCAGTACCAGGGTTAATAATGAGAAACAGGTGACAGTACCGGGGTTAATAATGAGAAACAGGTGACAGTACCAGGGTTTACAATGAGAAACAGGTGGCAGTACCAGGGTTTACAATGAGAAACAGGTGGCAGTACCAGGGTTTACAATGAGAAACAGGTGGCAGTACCAGGGTTTACAATGAGAAACAGGTGGCAGTTCCAGGGTTTACAATGAGAAACAGGTGGCAGTTCCAGGGTTTACAATGAGAAACAGGTGGCAGTTCCAGGGTTTACAATGAGAAACAGGTGGCAGTTCCAGGGTTTACAATGAGAAACAGGTGGCAGTTCCAGGGTTTACAATGAGAAACAGGTGGCAGTACCAGGGTTTACAATGAGAAACAGGTGGCAGTACCAGGGTTTACAATGAGAACAGGTGGTAGTACCAGGGTTTACAATGAGAAACAGGTGGTAGTACCAGGGTTTACAATGAGAAACAGGTGGTAGTTCAGGGTTTACAGGTGGCAGTTCCAGGGTTTACAATGAAAACAGGTGGCAGTTCCAGGGTTTACAATGAGAAACAGGTGGCAGTTCCAGGGTTTACAATGAGAAACAGGTGGCAGTACCAGGGTTTACAATGAGAAACAGGTGGCAGTACCAGGGTTTACAATGAGAAACAGGTGGCAGTACCAGGGTTTACAATGAGAAACAGGTGGCAGTACCAGGGTTTACAATGAGAAACAGGTGGCAGTTCCAGGGTTTACAATGAGAAACAGGTGGCAGTTCCAGGGTTTACAATGAGAAACAGGTGGCAGTACCAGGGTTTACAATGAGAAACAGGTGGCAGTTCCAGGGTTTACAATGAGAAACAGGTGGCAGTTCCAGGGTTTACAATGAGAAACAGGTGGCAGTTCCAGGGTTTACAATGAGAAACAGGTGGCAGTTCCAGGGTTTACAATGAGAAACAGGTGGTAGTACCAGGGTTTACAATGAGAAACAGGTGGTAGTTCCAGGGTTTACAATGAGTTCCAAAATGAAAACAGGTGGCAGTTCCAGGGTTTACAATGAGAAACAGGTGGTAGTTCCAGGGTTTACAATGAGAAACAGGTGGCAGTTCCAGGGTTTACGAAGAAAAACAGGTGGCAGTTCCAGGGTTTACAATGAGAAACAGGTGGTAGTTCCAGGGTTTACAATGAGAAACAGGTGGTAGTACCAGGGTTTACAATGAGAAACAGGTGGCAGTTCCAGGGTTTACAATGAGAAACAGGTGGCAGTTCCAGGGTTTACAAAGAGAAACAGGTGGCAGTTCCAGGGTTTACAATGAGAAACAGGTGGCAGTACCAGGGTTTACAAAGGGAAACAGGTGGCAGTTCCAGGGTTTACAATTGGTAGTAGATGTAGCTAGTTGGGTTTACCCCTTTGTCCATACTTTCTTTGATTACTACAGTGTTTAAGAGAAACCATGTGAACCATGTGTTTTCTGTGAAAACCACTTTGTTCAGACAACATTCAAAACAAATACCTTGCAGTTGATGGATTGACTAAAACTGTTCAGGCAATTACTCTAACTAGAACTCTTGGTCATTTGACCAAATGACTGAAACTTTTAGTCTTTTGACCAAATGACTAATCGTTTTAGTAATTTGACCAAATGACTGAACATTTCTTGTCATTTGGGCAAATGACTGGTTTTACAGATTGACTGTAACATATACACACACATCTTTCTAAAATTAGGAGACATTTCATCTTCCATTTTTCATTCCTAAGTACAAGTCAATGCAACATCTTGGATTTGGTATTTTCAGTTTTTATTGCATATATGTCTGTACACCATCATCATCATGATAACAATGTTAACAAAAAAGATGAAATGCCATTCAAACATTGCAAAGCAATCATGAACGCCGAATAGATCCATATCTTAAAATATAGACAACCAAAAAGCTAAGCACAAAAACAATCAACAATCTGCTTAATAAAAATTCAGCATGATATATTTTGTTTCGTACACAACTGTCCCTTCTGCCCAGAGCAGGAAGATTAGCTTCCCCTCCCAGTACAACACAGAACCTTTCACTGTGTCAATACCACGATGCTAGTGATGAGCGAACTCTTCAAGAGTGGAGGCGTTAATAACTGTCGCCATGAGAATCAAGGAATGCTGGATGTATGTTGTGAGAGCATCAGATGACATGTGTTCCATGGACAAGGTGTCGATATGTTGTTTTAGTATCTGTAGTGGTCAGGTTTGAAGGGTCCTTGTGCAGGAATGCCGAGATATGAAGCCTGGTCTGAGGTCAGCTTGGTCAGTTTGACCCCAAGATGTTCCAGATGAGCTGCCGCGACTTCTTCATCAAGCTACAACAGAATATTTCATTGGAATCAAACACTGGCACACTTTTTCAGCTGCAGTCATCAATATTCTGGATACATTGAAGCAGTTTAAAACTCATACACAAACCCTGACTTCCCCAACTGCAAGCGCAAATAATCGTGACATATTGCCAAGCCATCCAACCACCATTTTAGAGGCTTTTTAGCAAGCTATATAGACAAACAGAGACAGGATGCATGTCATTACTTGTATGCACGTATCTCTGGTAAAACAATCTTATCAATAAATTTTCAGGTTCAACTCAATTGCACATTTAACAACAAAAATTCATTTTAACCAAGTCAGATGTGCCTAATGTCATTCATTAATCTATTTTAGTTCATCACAGTTTTGGAGAAAAGCCAATGATACTGTTACAGGTGTATATCGTTTTAATGAAACCATGAGCTCACACATGCAGCTGCTGATACATCAAATATTGTAATCAGAGCCAACCTTGGACTGCAACAGTTGATCAACAGATCCTAAGGGAGGTAACTGTGTAGCAAACTGTCGCTCCTATCTGAGGTTCCTGATGTTTACAGCCACCCATCCCCCTTTTTGACGACCCCTGCTGCCCACCACCCTCATCCGCTTTCTGATGACCTCTTTCATGCCTGTACCCTCCCAACTGGCCCTCCCTACTGGCCCTCCCAACTGGCCCTCCCTACTGGCCCTCCCAACTGGCCCATCCCTTCAGACTCCCTCCCACTCGTCAACCTTACCTTCTTGGGCAGCATGAAGACTCCGACCTTGTAGGTGTCAGCTTTGGCCCACAGCTCAATCTGTGCCAACACCTGGTTGGTGAAAGAGTTGCTCATGACGAAGCTTGGGTGCCCATGGGCACATCCAAGGTTCACAAGCCGACCCTCAGCCAGCAGGATGATGTGGCGGCCATTCTTCATTTCATACCTGTCAACCTGCAACAGCAGAATACAAAACTAGAATTCAGGACTGACTGGTGGTACCGATGACGACATGCCCGTACAGGTGGCAACCTTTGTTGTTTCTGCAGTACTATAGCGATGTGTCATTATTCCTGTCTGTGCCAGCCAGTAAATGACACTAGAGCATCAATATACTCAACTGGGGTATGATGACATACTTCTACCAAGTCATCAATGTACAGGTACACACCTGCACAGATGACAGTGGGGACCACACACCTGCACAGATGACAGTGGGGACCACACACCTGCACAGATGACAGTGGGGACCACACACCTGCACAGATGACAGTGGGGACCACACACCTGCACAGATGACAGTGGGGGCCACACACCTGCACAGATGACAGTGGGGACCACACACCTGCATAGATGACAGTGAGGTCCACACACCTGCACAGATGACAGTGGGGACCACACACCTGCACAGATGACAGTGGGGTCCACACACCTGCACAGATGATAGTGGGGACCATGGGATGACAGTGAGGTCCACACACCTGCATAGATGACAGTGAGGTCCACACACCTGCACAGATGACAGTGGGGTCCACACACCTGCATAGATGACAGTCAGGTCCACACACCTGCACAGATGACAGTGGGGACCACACACCTGCACAAATGAGACTGATGTACTCACCTGAGGCTTGACTTCCTCTTTCTTGGCACAGTTTTCATTCAAATATTTCACATCAATTTCACAGTCAAAATGTCCGATGTTGCACACGATAGTGTCCTCCAACATGTTGTCGGAGTCTTGGGGTCGAATGATGCCCTTGCAGCCTGTAGCTGTCACAAAGATGCGGGCGTGTTTCACAGCCTCCTCGATCGTTGTTACCTGGAAGCCTGAAACAGACAGACAGACAGACGTGGGATACAGTGTACACAAGCGGAGGGGGAAGTCATGTCAGCAAGCAAGACATATCAGTGTTAGAGAAGAAATGTCCCTTTGATCAGTATTTCTGTCATATTGCATGATGGGAGAGACTGAAGCATTTGATGACAGACATGTACTGGACCGGTCTTTGAATCCGCTCACATCAGTTTCTGGCATGCCTAAGGGACAACTCTTTCACAATATAACGTCACCCTGGCATAGTTTCGGTCATACATAGATGACGCAACTCTGCACATGCAATTAGCAGTGCCACCAAAATATGAGAAAACACCTGCTGAAAATTTGAGCAACAAGCAAAATGCATTAAAGCACAACTCTACTTCAACTAACATTCAAAAAGTTTTTCTTTGCTATTATATGCAGTCAGAAATATAATGATGGCCACCTGCGTGGGATTGACAACAACCACATCACCTTGCTAAACAACCCAATCTTATTACCCCTTTCTGAGTAAGAGTGTTTAGGACCAATTGTAACCCACATTTAAACCTGGTTTACAAAATGATACAGATAACTAAATATATTTTGTGAAGAGTGAGTGAGTTCAGTTTTACGCCGCACTCAGCAATATTCCGGCCATATGGCGGCGGTCTGTAAATAATCGAATCTGGACCAGACAATCCAGTGATCAACAGTATGAGCATCGATCTGCGCAAATGGGAAACGATGACATGTGTCAACCAAGTCAGTGAGCCTGACCACCCAATCCTGTTAGTCGCCTCTTACGACAAGCATGGGTTACCGAAGATCAACATTCTAACCCGGACCTTCACAGGTATTTTGTGAAGAAATTCTATTACAATTATTAACAAGAAGACAAAGTCATCAATATCCCCCCGCAATGGCAAAATACTCTTCATGATTATGTCTACGAGTTATGATTACGTCAAATATTTAGGTGTGTATATAGAAAAGTGGAAGGAGAGCATTGAAAGGTTTTAAAAGTTCTGCTCCAGAAAGGAGCACTACCACCAATTTCAGTTTAAGTCGAACTTGTTGCCATAGAAACGCCAAAAATATTTTATTCAGAATTCCAAAACTACCAAAAGGCACCAGTACACCACCAGATCTATGTATGTGCCAAGTTTGGTGAAGAAATATTGAACGCTTTTAGAGTTCTGCTCCAGAAAAGACAAATGTGCAACGGACGGACGGACGGAGTCCATTTTAATACCCCCCGCAAAACTCGTTGCAGGGGATAACAATTATTATATTTTTGGAGGCTCTAACCTTTAGACCACAACTGACAATATAATATTTGGAGTTTGACTCTGAGTCCCGTCCCACACTATGGATCAACACGTACCTTCCATGGCTGCCTGAAGTGCATTAATAGGATCAACCTCAGTGACCATGACACGTGCACCGAAGGCACGGAGGGCTTGTGCGCATCCCTTGCCGACATCGCCGTACCCAGCTACACAGGCCACCTTCCCCGCCAACATCACATCAGTTGCCCTCTTGATGCCGTCAACGAGAGACTCACGGCAACCGTACAAGTTGTCGAACTTGCTCTGTAAAAACGAGTACCATGACACTGAGTCTTGTTTGTAAAACATCAACAAAGGGAGGCAACCTCTTTTGCACAACAGTAAAGAATTTCACTCAAAAGATCATGCTACACTAAAACATCAGCATGTTGAGATGCATTTGTGATCTAAATGCGACACTCTGCAGAGAAAGTATCTATTGTGATGTTTTATGAGGAATTAAGTGAATCAAAGATCAATTAAAATTAGCGCCACAGGACCTCAGCACACCTGTTGATGTAGTCCAAAGATCAAAACGTCAACGACAGACATCCAACAAAAGTTGAATCCTGCTTGGATATTTATATACTCAAAGATATGAGCTGAAACCAATACCACACTTAAACACTGGATTTGATTTCATTTGGAAAGACAATAGCTGCAAGGTGGCAATTTTGAAAATCAAATTCAAACCTCTTGAAGAGAATCGTCTGTCTTGTTTGGGGATATGTTTTCAGCCCCACTACTAACTACACATACTGCAACTTTCATAACATTTTGGACGAGAAAGAGCTGAATAATGGCATTAACTTTCTGTATGGTCAAAGTGAAAGGTCACATGTGGGTCAAAAGTGAAAATATTATGAGAAAATGAACATATCTGCTGATCCTACAACAGATTTTACATAAACCAAATTTGAAACACATTTGAACCAAGTTTTTATTCAAGTTTGAACACGAATGACTGAATCAGAGCAATGAATAGTATTTTCCTTATTTCTGGTGTGGAGGCAATACTGCAAATCATTTTCAAACCACAAATTCAGCTTCATTTGTTGAGTAGCTGGTAGGACGATGGTAAACCCGACAGCAGACAAACAGGCTATGACAAGTTATGGATAAGTAAGGAATAGTTACTGGTACACGACATATCTAACTTTTAGTGACACAATTCATGACACATCAGGGAAGACAATGATGTTTGGTAATGTTACCTTGGTGACAGAGTCGTTGACATTTATGGCTGGGCATTTGAGACGTCCATCTGCCATCATCTTGTACAGGTTGTGGACCCCTGTTGTGGTTTCCTCGGACAAACCCCTGATACCTGCAGAGACATCATCAAAACCTAAAACCTGAACAGTGGTGACTTTACCCAACAACTGTGAGCGAGAGTTTTGTTTAAAACACCATTTTGAATGAAATGATATCCTAAAGAACTGTCGGAAATGCTAGAAAAATGCTTTTTAGCCTTAATATCTTTCTAAAGGTGATAAATGTACTATGTTGTCAATATATCAACTCGTCTATTGTCTACCTAATATTTATTGTAACTGATTTAACATGCCCATGCATTTAAAGGGCAGTTTAAAGGAGAGAATTTGGTACCAAAACAGCAACTTAAGATTTTTTCAGAGTTCAACAACAGAAATCTGAAATAGTCTTTACATTTATGCTAATAATACAGGTGGTGTAAAAATATGAATTAACGTGTTTTTAAGCAAATAAATGTTGAATGTTTGTGTTACTTTACTTAATTATCGTTTCTTTATTGAAGAAATATAATATAAATGTTAAGTCTTGATAAATAAGTTTCCCGTCATGCATGCACATCTTTATCACAGCGTCCACTATGGCCAACGATTTGTAGTCGATTATTGCATAGGTTTATAGGTTTTTTCTGCTTAAAAAAGACAGAGGTAAACCTTTCATTAGTTTAGAAAGGGTTTATTACAGAACTTGTAGAGCTGTTGGTATGTCTTAACAACAAGTTTACAATATTGTAAACAAATCAGACAAGACAGGGACCGTCTCAAATGCAAAACTGGGACGTAAAACCATCCTTGACAACTTTGACAAGGGAGTGCTTAGACGGGCGGTCTACAAACTTTATGAGAAGGAAAATATATATATTCTAAAGAAGCTACACCAGTGACTTCGTTAAATCTTTGGCCAATGTTCACAACTAGATTAAACTGACCGAATTACATCCATATTTTGTCAATGGAATATACTGTTGACATGCAAAACATTTATTAAAACGATGCACATTTCTACAATCAATCGATAAGATAACACAAGTGATAGGATTCTTTCCAATGTACAGTAATTCGTATGTTTATTTCAAAACAAACACACATACACAAATGATCCCTTACATAACCGATAATGTATGCTATAATGCATTACATATTCAACATTTTGCAGAAAGCACCTATTGAGATGACCCCTCGCCCGAGCGTGTGCTCAGGTGTCAATTTCACCTGTCGATACCGTGGATGCTGATGACGTAACACAGGCAGTTAATGTTTGTATCAATTAACGTCCCACTACCCCTTATTTTTTGGTATTTTCATCAGTAAAAACACATTTTAGAGCATGTCTCAAAATTTATTCCCTCGGTCTACATTAGGTAGATGTTTCTTGAAGTGATATTTGTTATTTAAGTAACTGTAATACCTCTGAATTTTAAATATAGGTCAAAAAGCATTTTTCTAGCATTTCCGACAGTACTTTAGGCTTTTGCTTTTTGGTGAAATCCACAAGGTGAAGTGCTTACAAACTCAGGAGGCAATGATAGGTTCCTGTCATGCTAAGGGAGACAACTCCCCATAGTGATTTGAAGCACCTATGACAATTATGTCACCTGTGCCTCACTTCACCGACTGAAGAACAAAGTAAACTTGTTTGTTGGTTCATGGTACCCATAATCATTACATAGTCATCAAGTCATTAAAATCTATCTACAGATACCTGAATTACAGGTAGGAACTTTTACTTGAGAAATGTATTTTACAATGATTTCTTCTCATGACATGTTGGCAAATACTACTCTACTCTTCCTGAGATACTTCATGCTGTCATAGGAGGACTAGTGGGAATGTGTACTTATGTAATACACCTTGAAAAGAGTGTGGAATGGCAACCCCAAAAAGGAGGTTTACAAGACATCGAAGCATGTATTTGCATTCTTAAAACAGTATCAAATTAGTCAAGTTGTTTCAGGTGGTTACCTTCAAGGTACTGTGGAAATTTCTCGTGTACCAGATTTGTGAGATCACCACCATCATCAAGGATCATGTTGAGGGGTTTGCCATTAGGGAATACCAGAGTCTGCAGAGTAGAAGATAATAAATAAAACATGCAGCCACACGCAGCGACAAGGTCTACATTAATCCTAACATGTCGTTTGTTCTCCATTTGACGACACACTCAGCAACATTCAATCTACATGACCTCTTTCTTAATTGAGTGAGTTCAGTTTTACACTGCTGTATAGCACCGGTCTGTAAATGATGAGTTTCGACCAGACAATCGAGTGATCAACAGCATGAGCATCGATCTACGCAACTGGTCTTAAATAATTGTGCATCCACCCACACAACTAGGACACGATGGCATGCTATCAACCAAGTGACTTTAGTTTTATATTGCAATATTCACGTAGCAATATTAACGAGCGTGACAAGCGAACGCTTTAACCATTAAGGCTATTCCACCGCGCCCCTCCAGGTCACCAAGCCTTACTAGAGTGACGACATGACACATAAAGAGGTGAGGTGAAATTGGGTTTTACGTCGTGCTTGAGAATTATTTCGCTCATATGACGACGTGCATGTGTATGTGTATGTGCGGCTGCTTGTACTAGCCCAGACTGAAGCTGGTTCAATAGTGCTAGCCCACTGAGATACCATGCCGCAGTGAAGCATGAATACCCCACTCAGACACATTATACTGACTCCGAGCCAACCAGTCCTTCTTGTACCCATTAATGTCGAGCACCATGCAGGGACAACAAGTACCACATTTTAACGTCTTTTGGTATGACGCGGTCGGGGATCGAACCCGAGGCCTTCCGCTCTCCGGGCGGACGCTTTAACCACTACACCACGGAGGCGGTCCAACACATAAAGAAGATCTACTCACTTGTTCAATGCACCACACATACTCTTCATCTGTCTCCCCCTTCCACGCATACACAGGGACGCCAGTCTTAGCTATGGCTGCAGCGGCGAAGTCTTGTGTAGAGAAGATGTTGCAGCTTGACCACTGGACCTGAATCAACGAAGTAGATGTGAAGTGAAGAACGCCAGAGCAACATCATTCATTTGAGATTGGGAACACAGGTGTAAATAGAAGTGACAAAACCCTTTCCACAGGGAACACCAGTGTTACATTCTTCATGTGAGGTGGGGAACACCAGTGTAACATTGTACGTGTGAGGTGGGGAACACCAGTGTAACATTGTAATGCGTGTGAGGTGGGGAACACCAGTGTAACATTGTTCATGTGAGGTGGGGAACACCAGTGTAACATTGTTCATTTGAGGTGGGGAACACCAGTGTAATATTGTACATGTGTGGTGGTGAACATCAGTGGAACATTGTACATGTGAGGTGGGGAACACCAGTGTAACATTGTACATTTGAGGTGGGGAACACCAGTGTTACATTGTACATGTGAGGTGGGGAACACCAGTGTAACATTGTACATTTGAGGTGGGGAACACCAGTGTAACATTGTACATGTGTGGTGGGGAACACCAGTGTAACATTGTACATTTGAGGTGGGGAATACCAGAGCAACACTACATTTGAGGTGGGGGAACACCAGTGTAACATTGTACATTTGAGGTGGGGAACACCAGTGTAACATTGTACATTTGAGGTGGGGAATACCAGTGTAACATTGTTCATGTGAGGTGGGGAACACCAGTGTAACATTGTACATGTGTGGTGGTAAACATCAGTGAAACATTGTACATGTGAGGTGGGGAACACCAGTGTAACATTGTACATTTGAGGTGGGGATCACCATTGTAATATTGTACATGTGAGGTGGGGGAACACCAGTGTAACATTGTACATGTGTGGTGGGGAACACCAGTGTAACATTGTACATTTGAGGTGGGGAATACCAGAGCAACACTACATTTGAGGTGGGGGAACACCAGTGTAACATTGTACATTTGAGGTGGGGAACACCAGTGTAACATTGTACATGTGTGGTGGGGAACACCAGTGTAACATTGTACATTTGAGGTGGGGAATACCAGAGCAACACTACATTTGAGGTGGGGGAACACCAGTGTAACATTGTACATTTGAGGTGGGGAACACCAGTGTAACATTGTACATTTGAGGTGGGGAATACCAGTGTAACATTGTTCATGTGAGGTGGGGAACACCAGTGTAACATTGTACATGTGTGGTGGTAAACATCAGTGAAACATTGTACATGTGAGGTGGGGAACACCAGTGTAACATTGTACATTTGAGGTGCGGAATACCAGAGCAACATTGTACATGTGAGGTGGGGGAACACCAGTGTAACATTGTACATGTGAGGTGGGGAACACCAGTGTTACATTGTACATTTGAGGTGGGGAACACCAGTGTAACATTGTACATGTGTGGTGGTGAACATCAGTGTAACATTGTACATTTGAGGTGGGGAATACCAGAGCAACACTACATTTGAGGTGGGGGAGCACCAGTGTAACATTGTACATTTGAGGTGGGGGAACACCAGTGTAACATTGTACATTTGAGGTGGGGAATACCAGTGTAACATTGTTCATGTGAGGTGGGGAACACCAGTGTAACATTGTACATTTGAGGTGGGGAATACCAGAGCAACACTACATTTGAGGTGGGGAGCGCTAGTATTTTTATGATAAAGCTGTCGTACCTCAGCCCCGAGTTCCTGCAGAGTTTCAATGAGGACGGCAGTCTGCACCGTCATATGGAGGCAGCCAGCGATGCGGGCTCCAGCCAGGGGTTTCTTGGGTCCGTACACCTTCCTCATCATCATCAACCCTGGCATCTCATTCTCTGCGATGTCAAGAGCTTTACGCCCCATCTCGGCTTGGCCGATATCGGCTGAAAAAAACAGAAGAGAAAACTGCAACATTTCTGCATATCAAGAACTTAACCTCTCAAACAGCGTTGTGGAGTCTGTTTTGGGGAGCTTTGTTAGTGCAAGCCCAGCCCCTGATGTGTCATGGTGTTAGCAATGTGCGGTGCAGGTGCATTTACTGTACTTGCTGTGTTTGTCCTAAACCTCTCTCCATAATGTTTTACATACACAATCTTCCCAAGTGACACCAATACCAGTAATTATTCCCCAAGTAAAACAGATAATCCTCCCACCATGTTAAAAGATGTTTGTCTACATCACAAAGATACAATACACGTCATCTACAGTCAACAGAAATGTAGGTGGTAATACTGAGTGAGTTTAGTTTTACACCGCTTTTAGCAATATCCCAGCAATATCATGGGGGGGGGGGGACACCAGAAATGGGTTTCACACATTGTACCCATGTGGGGAATCGAATCCGGGTCTTCGGCGTAACGAGCAAACGCTTTAACCACTAGGCTACCCCGCTGTCCCAGGTGGCAATAGCAACAGTAGACAGCCTAAATATATAACCAACAGTGAAATCTGTCATAATTTAAACACACCTCACAGGGGTGGAAATAACCCATTGCCCGACGCCCCAGTCCAGTGTTTTTTCTGTCGGGCAAGCAAATTTGTATATCACACTGTACCGGTGACTTTCCAATGTTAATTATGTTTATTTAAAAAATCAACAAGAAAATCGGCCAGTATAGTAGAAAAATTATCAGGGCAAGTGATTTTACATGTGCCACTGTACCGGAGTACACTAGCAATTTTAAAGTTATTTCCACCCCTGACCTCAGCAAACCTATGGCATACATATATCCATAGCATGTCGCTTCAATGTATGCATACAAATTAAATATTCACTGCCATCCAAAGATAAAATTAAGCTTCTATAGAAAATTAAAAATACATAACATTATGACCAATTAATTCTGAGCTGCTTCTGCATAAATAAGCATGAATATTCATAAACAAAAAACAGAAAGTATCACTGCATCCTTTAAACTTGCATGTCAACATTTGCTTACTGATCTTTAACGATGGAATGAATTCAAGACACTAAACAAACATGGACATGTTCATGGTGAAATTACATGCATACTACTGTAAGCTTATGTGACACTGTACACACTTGGGGAAGCACTCAAACAGATACAAGTAGAAGTCACCTGATACTATGTTTTGAGCAGAATTATCATTCTTTAAAGGTCAACTGATGGTAAATAAAAAACCAAAATGACTGGACCCCAAAGAGTAAAAGTACAATAAATACCTAAACAATGTAATACCTAATGTCAGCAAAGTCTCAAGTTGAAATTACAAGTTACATATCCAATTACACAACTCAATTCTATAAATAATGTCCATATAGCACAGTTATTATTTACGATTCTGCAACATCTTTACAGGATCAGCACCATGTGCATGGGCGGATCCAGGATATTTGAAGGGGTTCAGGGGTTAGAACCCCACCCACCCACTCTTGGCTCCACCAATGCAAAAAAAAAAATTCAATGTGGTCTTAAGGCATTTTCAAAGGTGTGTGTGTGGAGGGGGGGCGAACCTGGATCTGCCCATGATGTGATACTTGTATACCCTACACATGCTCCTGAATACAAATGACAAATCATAATGTAGGGCAAAGCATGTATTATTCATTGTATGTGCGTGACTGTGGGCTCCAATAATCTGAACAGATGATTTTGTACCTGACAATGTGACCATGTCAGTTGGCAGATTGAAAGAAAACACCCATTATCACTAGTCAAGATGGGGATGACTGTCTACTATCACCAGTCAGGACACAACTATTTGCAAAACCATCCGGAATCCAGTAAATCAATTAAATGCATGGTAAACTGGTGGATATGAGCATCAGAGCGTGGAGTTATCCCATGGATGGCATCCAGATCTTGTCAGCCCACTGAAGGGGCTACCTCTTCGATCACGTAGATCAAGCTTCCGAACTCGGATAAAATGTCCGCGGTTCGAATCCATCGCGTGAAACGTTATGCATGCTACACATACATGAATATGTTCAACTGTTAAAGAATATACGTGTAAGTGATCTTCACAGAACAGTTTCGATCATCGAACGTCATTGCTCCAAAAATTTGTACACACGAGTTTTATGACTGACTTCTTGTGTGCAAAAATCAAATGCAGTTTATATAAGGAAGTACAAGTGCAAAAATTGAAATCGAAAACACGAAAATCAAGCTGGGTCATAATTGATAAATAAAATCAAAACGGGCCTGCAACGTTTCCCTGTAGCAGACAAGTAATGTTATATAGAGACATTTATACACATATGCATCAGTGGATATCACTGTCATGGCACATACCGACTTTGTATGGTGGTTTCTGGGCCATTGTGGAGAGTGAACACTGTACACTAGCACGTGTCAAATCTAAGAGAGGATGAATGCGGTTGTCGCCAGCCTTTTATACCTTTCTGACGGAGAAAACGTCACGTGGTACCGGTATTTCATTGTCATTGGTTAAAATGGTACCGGCCCACTGTGACCTGTAAAGTTTGACCTTTGCCCTACTAACGTTATGGACGCAGAGTAAAGAGGATCTTGATGGGTGTATGAGTCAGCTGCCATTAGGAATTTTAGTCTTTATTCAGGTGTATGTACGTACGGTCCATGGTTAGTACAAACATAGCGAACAGACTTTCTGCATCATATTTGGTCAGTCAAAATGTCTCAAACCGAAATCTAAAAGGGACTTCAAAAGCATGTCAATGCAGATAAATCTTTGGTACGTATGGAAAACATGACCACCTGATTCTGTAATTTGTTTTATTACTGGATTTCGTGGCACTGAGGTTATTGTTTCTTTAGATCTACTCATACACGAGTTTCAAGAGAATTTTGCTCGATAACGAAATTAACTTTGTATTATTAACTTTTATGGTAATCTTTTTTCGATTATACATGTGCATGACTCATCTTACGTTGACAACAGGTTTTTGGCTAAACTAGATACCCCATCAGGACCCTCAATCAAGTGAACGATTCACTGTATATTTCCATTCAGATACGAGAAAGCTCTTTCTTGTGCAGGTGATTTGGTAGACTAACGTGACATAACATCTAAAATGAACAAATATCACAGACAAAACGGTTCCTTTAGTATATTTATAAAAGTCAATAAAAAGGAGCCCAGAGGTTTTTTTAACAATTTTCAGATACCTGAAACTGTGGTAATCTAGACTTGCCATACATTCTAGACTTAGATGGGCTGTATTGGTTGTTTTTGTTTCAGAGTCTGTAGTGAATGCATGAGTGAATGAGTATGATTTTACGCCGCATTTAACTTCTACTGATTGAGCTTGATTTAAAACAATGGCATCGTTTTGTTTTTGCTTTTTTGTGTTTTGTATCTAAAAGAGATGTTCTATAAATCTAACAGTTTATTTTTTTAGAGATTTTGTTTTCATTTCAAGCAACGTGGTTTCGTTATGTTAAGTTGTTTCGTGTTTTAGAGACATATATACACAAAACATTGCTCCGAAAATATAAACAATGACTTTGGCTGAATCGTAGTGACACAATGTATTTTGAAATGTATAAGTAGGAACATTTCTGGCGCGTGTACAGGTACGTTCGTGTGCGCGTCCGCGTCCGTGCGTGGCGTGTGAAGCCGAAAGCGAATGTCCAACTGAATGCACTACGTAAACAATGCCGTTATCCGACTGAAACAAGCGGCATTTATCTAAAGCTGCATATCTTTTTTTCAGCAGAAAATGTACCTACGAAATCATTTTATATAGCTACATGGTCGAGGAATGTATGATTTTGTAGTACCACGTTCCAGCAATTCCATTGTCCCAAAAGAAATTGAGAATAAATTACTGTAACATCCTTCCAAAAATGTTTTTTTGATAAGTCTAAAAAGGGAGGTGGGGTTGCACTTATGACCAAAATTACTTGTTATACAACTATAACCTGTCTAGATATTTACCAGAAAAATCTATTGTAGAGCTTGTCAACGAAACCCTGGCACGCGTGGTAACGGTACATGTGTCACTCGTTAATTAACATGAACTTCATTCGTGACATATTTTCCGCAAACAAGCATGACTCGTAGCCTATTTAATAAACGCACTCATCCCCGACTCTCCATCCTCAATTTATTCCCCTCCCTCGTCACAGATTAAAATTATTCTATTTATTGCTGTAACCTTCACATCTAAAAAGAAATATTATGAATTAAAATCAACGCAATTAACTACCAATTAACAACTGAACACCTCAGTAACATGTGTGATATCCATATTCATGAAAGACAGACAGACAGACAAAATAGTTTATTTTTGTGTCACGTGAATGTACATGTCAAAAAATGGCAACGGTAAAAAGACATAGAAAAATACAGACACCAGGCCAGATGGCCAACGAGACACACTAGACAATATGTGCATAAAATGTATAAAATATAAGATTAAAACATTAAGGAGATAAGCAAGAATCAATCAAACGCTGGCTGAATGTTTAGCCATTGGTCAGTCGATTGTGACGACTCCTGACATACACTGATAAGAAACCTGCCTCGTCAGCAGTTTAGAGAGAGGAATGAATGTCAACATACACGAAAACAATCTTGCCGCCATTAGGGATTGTTAAACAAAATATGTCATGTTCATCCTCAACGACGAGAGGGGTGGGGAGCCTCCAGGCAGAGAAAGACCCCCTCATGAACTCAAGTCCACAGACAGAGCAGACCCTAGAAGATGAGGGTTGACCATCTCGCTTCACTCCCATTATGACTGATTACCTGGATTGTCTAACCACGCATGAGTGATTTCTCCATGGGTCAGTGTGAGCCGTGGAGTCACTGATCCGTAAAATCTGTTTCGGAGAGGCTATTGGAGAGAAGATCTTGGGGGTCTCAAAATGCTTACTAATGAGATTAAATTAATTAAAGGGGTTTATCAATTAAGATATGTCCAAGTGATCTGACAATAAAGAGATTACAAACAGTTAGTTTATTTTCAAACACTTAGTAATAAGATTAATGAAAGTTATTCTTCTAAGCAGGAAATGCAAGTTAATTAAGTAACTAAATACGTGGAGAGGCTAGTTGGAGTATAGATGAACGTAAAAAGAATTTCGAGTGTAGAGAATGCCTGATATGATGTGGGAAAAGTCCGCAGTCTAGACTACCAGTTGTCCGACATTCATTTTTGTGGAAGTCGTGGTGGCTGAGCGGATTAGACGGCTGACTTTGTGTGCTGGCGATTTGGTGCCTGACTCTGAGGGAGTGGGTTCGAATCCCGGAAGGGACTCAATACAAAGTACGAGAATTTGTATTTTACTAAGAAAGTGTAATCCCAAATTTAACATATGTTGAACTATAATACAAGTCAATATATATGATAAAATAGATTTATGTATGTTTTTGAATATTGAAATATATATGCTTTATATATATATATGTGTGTGTGTGTGTGTGTGTGTTGATAAGTTGCTGATGTTGACTATAATATAAGTAAAATATATGATAAAATATATTTCTATATATTTGTGAATGTTATATATGTGTGAGATATATATGCAAATAAGTATAGTAAAATAATAAATAATAAAAATATACGATGAAATATATTTATGTTGTCTTTGTTTTTATTTTGTGGTAACACCCCTGTTAAGTTTGAAATGGATTGCCTACTTCGTCTAACAAGCAAAGTCACTCAACCCTGACTATGCCTGTGTTGTCTAATTGCTACTGTTTACCTGTTTTAAAAATTAGACGAAACAGGTTGATACCTTATGACTACTCCCAATTTGACTACCCGTCCGATATACAATCTGTTCCAGTCAAATGTTTTTTAATTACTAGCTCTCTCCCTTCCGTCAGGTAGATAGTTCCACCATAAAACATATATATATGTATAAATAGCAGTTATAGCTGTGCCAGGTTCATATGATATTTATTCAGCTAATTACATAACAAGGTATAATTCAACTGCTAAAATATATAAATATGATCACAACAATAGGTATTCATGTCTCCATGACAATAACATGTCGGGTTACGTTAGGTCATTGTTGTAGAAGAGTTCAAGGGACTAGTCAGTGGTCGAAGAGGTATCCCAGTGGTTTCCATCCATGAAGAGGACATCAGTCTGCTGTAACGTTGAGAGTACTTCTTCCGTAGAAAACACCAGCAACTTGTCACCGTCTCCGTCTTCAACAGCAAGAAAGCGACGTCCATCAGATGTAGTAGTCCATCTTCCTTCTTGGGTGACATCTCTACGATTTTCAGGCAATGCAGGAGTGCCTTCTGTGTCTATACAAGGATGACTTCATACTAGACAGAGGTTGTGCAACAGCAGGCAGTTGGCGGAGCGCTTCATTATAGGTCAGGGACATTTGAGTTCACTCATAGCTGGCTCTTTTTCTCTTTTTTCAATTTTTAAAAATTTATTTATTTAATTTTTTATTTCAAGGTAAATGCTGGTATCAATCACACAATACATTTACATGAACAGAAAATGACATGAAGACCAGAATTTGTAAAACATATCGACTCTATTAGACATTTCAGCTGCACATTTAGTATCGATTATAATAATCCCGGACTTTGTATTTTAATGTTTTTGTTTATGGTCAAATAAAGTCTTTTTGAAAATCAAGATGATTATATTAGTGAGTCATTGTTTCTCTCTGGAAAACCAGCGTGTATCCTTTCTTTATTAAAGTTAATTTCTATTTGAGCTTTTTCTTTTCGCCAATCTTCCAGTTTGATCCACAGTGGCCGTACATGTTCACATTCCCAAAATACATGCTGCAATGTATCCGTTTTGTAGGAACAAAAGTCACATCTATCTGATTTGGTAGAGTCCATTCTTTGTAAACGGATATTAGTTGGTAGGGCTGGATATTGCCCTGATTCTCATATTGCGATATATTGCAATAATTCAAGAGATATTGCAATATATATTGTGATATATTGACTGGAAGGTTTCTGTCCCAGTGCGTACATCATAAATTCATAATAGCTCTATGTGTGCGACATCATCTTCTTAGTTGCTGTGACACCATACTTTCAGGCTCCCTGGCCCATTGTGTATGGGTGTATGCCAATGGTTTACAGATAAATGATATAGAGCCTTAATGTGGAATGTTTGATTGAAGTAACTGTATTGAAACAAAGTTTGGCGAACATAATGATAAAGGTAATAGTATAACATGATTTCCATGGTCAGTGTTGTTTGCTTCAACAGAATGCACTTCAGTGCAGTATGTCATTATTGTTACTGTTTGTCAGTGATCATTCAGATTCAACTCCAACATAAACATGTGTTTACATGAACTGTTGTAAAATGAAACAAACACATGATTTAGGTGAACTACTTGAGCATAAAATATCATGTGACCTCCAATAACTAAGATCATTGACTAGATTGGCATTATACATTCCTACAAGATTTA